TTAAAAAATGTGGACATGGATACTAGAGTGGAACGTGCAGGTGACAGATGGCTTATTAGCACCCCAGCAGACTCGGCCCTTGTAACTTATGACCAGCATAACGTTGCCACTAGGTTACAACTGCCGACCCAAACCATTTTTCTCTCAGTTCCGCCAGGTGCAATTGTGCACTTGGGCAACCTGGCGCTCCATCATCTCAACCTCGAACAGCATGACTCAGAGATTGAGATCATGAACGCATTCCAAGGTTATAACTTTACCATTGATTTAGAAATTGACCAACAACTGCTGACTGAAGGAACCAAACTTGTTAAGTTCACACAATCCCCGCATGAACTTACTCTGACGCCCATGAATAGATACCCAAGATGCTACATAGACACAGATTATACCACCTTAATCTGCACATTGGTCGCCATGGGGCTGGGATGGCTCGTCATGGTGGTGATAGCTTATTCCGCCTACAGGCGTGTTAATGAACTCCAGGATAAGATGCACCTGCTCACCTACGGTGTGCCTCGCGACCGCGTTCGGAGAGAGTCCATGCGTGAGTGTACCCCATCGGTCTAAAGGGGGTGAGCAACATTTTGTTTGTTATTTTGTGACCCTATAAGTAGTATCACTTTAGTCTACCTCACATTTTATCTGAGTGTTGCATTATGTCACATTCTTTATAAGCTACACACTGAATGTATTACCTAAGAATGTATTTTATGATACCTCAGGGTTGCTATGAATTTTCTTGGATGTTATAATATGTTTTTTTTTGGCTTTCCTATATTTTTGTTTCTTACTTGGTAACATTTTAGCTAGTGGTTATGTGCCGGCCCAGCTCAGTCTGTCAGTGAATGTGTCAGCCGCCCAGCACAATGTAGTACCTCTTAGTTCATGGTCTGTGTTTTAGCCCAAAGACTGTCCTACTCCCACCCTTTGGACCAAAAAGGGGAGAAACTTGGGACCACATAGGTGAATGCGCGCTTGCAAACTATGGACCCTCGTACATGAACTGCGTGCCCATGAACTGAACTGTATGGCTGGCGGAGATATGCTCCTTTTATCCCTCACGGGTGCCCCTGTTAAGCCCATGGACTGTGGACTGCCTGATCCTTGTCCCCTTTTGTCCCCATGGACTGTGGACTGCCTGATCTTTGTCCCCATGGACTGTGGACTGCCTGATCATTGTCCCTTTTGTCCCCTCATGGAGTCAACCGCCCGCCGGCTTCCCTCCTTCCACACCTCTCACGTGGACGACGACACCCCTGAAAGATTGTGCGTACCACCTGCGTGGGTGGCTCCTCCTCGTTATGCGCATGGGGACTATCCCGTTTCCTATCCCCTCTTGTTCTTTTGCCTGACCTGGATCCAAGACCAAGACAAAGACCAAAGGCGACCAGGATCCAAGACCAAAGACCAAGTCGACCAACGTTCCTGAGGGACAAACCCATCTGTGCTTCTGACGGTCAAGTCGAACAACGGTCATGAGAGAAGAACCCATCTGTGCTTCCGACGATCGAGCTCTGGCGCAATCCCCGAAACCAAAAGGGGGAATGTTGAGGGTCTGCCCTCATGAGAAAATTACTATGCAGTAAGTTCTCCAAAAGACTGTGCCAAAAACGCCCTGGAGCGTGACTAAATAAGGCATACTGAAAATCAGTGCCAGCAACAACTTCATTTCCCATGATTCCCTGCAGCCGGAAGCAACGTGATGACGTCACCAAAGTGACGCCGAACCCCGGAACCTACACAGCTTTCTCCCGCCCGCTGGAAATCTATAAGAGCCGGAGCACGGAGGAAAACTTTCTCTTTCCGTCCAGTTTCAGCTGGTGTTTGAAGAGACGCTCGCTCTGCCACCGCTCTGGACGAGCGTGCGTGGAGCCGAGCTACTGAAAGCAACAGAACCGCCATCTGGTTCGTTAGAACTCCGAGGGACGCTTCGGGTTCGATAAAACAAGAGGTTTTTTTCCCTCTCCCTTTCTCTTTCTCTCCTGTTCTCTCTCTAATAAGTTCAGAACAAGCTATCAAACCGCGTGATTGCTTTAAAGTAACAACGGTTTCTCTTCCGTACCAAATACGTCATCGAGATCATCTTAAGAGTAAGCCGTTTTGTTTTTGTCCTTGTTTAATATCTTAAGTTTTATGCTGTGGCCAGGCTGACAAACTATTAAGATATTTCATTTGTGATTGATCTTTTGTTTGTTTATTGATCTTTGTGAAGCGGTTTTGAAGTTGTTTAAGTTACTGTGCATGGAAACTTACCACATCACTGTTGAAAGTTAAGCCACTGACTGTGTTTGAGAAAACTTGCGCGCACACACGCACACACACACACACACACACGCACACACGCATTCCACAAGTGGTTTGATCCCAGGAGCCAGACAAAGGAATCAGCCATTTTGGGTTTTCAAAACCCCTCCATCTTGGGGTTACACCACCTCAGATTATTTCACATTATCATCTCATTGTTTAATCACTTGTTATTCATTTGATAAAATAAGTTGGTGGATATTAATTAGCTAACACTTTGGAAGGAGCTGAAGTGAATATATTAGTTAATAAATGTTATTGCCAATTAAGCATTTGTCTCAAGTGAATTTGTTTGTGTTGATATAAGATACCACTGCAGCTCGTTAAGGATTTTATGGACTTTAGACAGATTGATTAGAGGTTGTGGATTCATTTTCCCCTGTAAAAAGGGGATGGTGCCCCGAGGACATCCAAGGATTTCCTAATTACGTAATCAATCGGTAAATATTTCCATATTTACGAATTTATTGATGAATCCAGAAAGTAAGTAAAGCTTACAAATTATTCGTTGACTAATAATCACAACAGGTACGTTACCTCATTGTTAGCAATTTCTAATATACAATATTTATAAATTTCATTAAACAAAATACATTTTCTAGCTGTCTGAATGTGACCATTGCCAAAGAGTTTGACCTCCACTGATGGTAGTCGAAACACTGGATTGCGTCAAGGTGACTGTCCATTGTAATTCTCTTAGTTTATTACTTCTATTTTACTTCTGTTCATAAACATTTAATCTATCACCAACAGGTATCTGGTGTGTGGGAGCTGGTCGGAATGGATCTGACAGGTCCGCTTGGAATGGATCTGACAGGTCCGCTTCCCCAGACCCCTTCTGGCTACAAGTATATATTGACAGCCACGGATTATTTTTCAAAGTGGGTGGAGGCTTTCCCTATGAAAACCAAGTCTGCAGAGGAAGTCTCCCAAAATGTATGCACGATTTTTTATCGGCATGGCTGTCCTCTGCGCATACTTACAGACCAAGGGCGAGATTTTGTGAATCAAGTAAGTTATGTTTAATATAAATTTTTACTTGGCCTAAAAGTCAAATCTGTAAAATAACTAATTATAATGTGCCTCATTGTTCTTTTAGATCAACAGCAAACTATGTGAGCTCCTTTCAATTGAGAGGAGTGTGACAGCAGCATATCACCCGCAGACTAATGGATAGGATGAAAAGACAAATGGCAACATTAAACGGTGAGAAAACAATTACAGCAGTGTCTTGTTTTAACTTCTTTTGACAATTGCTTTGAAGCAAGTTTGAGAAACGAGGGCCCGGGCGGGATTCGATTCCCAGACTCCCGGGTGAGAGTCATGCATGCTAACCAGTCAGCCACAGAGAGATCCGTTTGGCTGACTGGTTAGCACGCATGACTCTCACCCGGGAGTCTGGAGATCGAATCCCGCCCGGGCCCTCGTTTCGCCACCTTGACACAGCTTAACATGTCCTGTATTTGTACTTTGTAAAGTTTGGTCTCAGACTTCACTTAGTTAAAATAATTTGCATGTATTCAATCATCTATGGCTTTGTGACTCTATAAAATGAGAATAAATGTTTCAAAGATGTATTGAAAATTCAAGTATTTCTTATTGAAGCATGAAACTCTTTTTTCTAGGGCCCTCAGAAAAGTTGTTCATGAAAGGCAGGAAGATTGGGATCTGTATCTAGATCAGGCCCCCACAATGCGGCTTTAAAATTGAGGCCAACCCAGAAGTAAGAAAAATTGCAGTTCCACCCTCATCCGCTGGGGGCTGGTATCAGAAACGAGCAAATCCTCATTGACTCCCATGTTAAAAATGCCAATTTCACTGCAGACATCTCAGTCTCGCTTGGAAACTGTTCCGGGATTTTGAGTCTCTGTGTTTGTGTATTCTTTTTTGGATATTATTTGTGCAATTGTTGGACAAAATGACCTGCTGTGGCATTAATTGCACTAATAGAGCGTCCAAGGAGTCTCCACTTAATTTTTTTCGGCAAGTAAAATTATATTAATGTATTTTAGGTCACTGCCGAGCTGAGCTTAGATTTTAACATGTACTGTTTAACCATGAAACTTAAATGTAATAGGGTAAAACCCAGTGCATTTAACATAATGCTGCACTTTAGAAAATGGGTTGAAATATAACATGTTGGTGGAGCTGGGTTCCGACTATCGGCTTGTGGAGCTCTCGGGAGACCGATGTTTTCCACCCGGAATGCTGGCTGTTTCTCCCCGCAGCCTGGTCCATCTCTGTCTGATCGCGACTCCTGTTAGCTGCGCGGGCTGACGGCTGGTTCTCCCAGCAGCTCGGCACATCTGTCTGATCGCGGCTTCTGTGTGCTGTGGCGGGCTGACGGCTGGTTCTTATGGCAAGCCAGAACCGCCAAAATACGCCACTTCTCCCCGCAGCTCAGCGCATCTCTGTCTGATCGCGGCTTCTGTTTGCTGCGGCGGGCTGACGGCTGGTTCTCCCAGCAGCTCGACGCATCTGTCTAATGGCGGCTTCTGTGTGCTGTGCGGCTGCCGGCTTGTGGAGGTCTCTGAGACCTGGTCTCGGAGATCTCTGTGTTCCACCCGGTTTTACTCAGCGGTCAGCCCGGCGTATCTCTGACTCAGAAGCTCTGGTGTTGTGCACAGTTAACTCCGGTTGTAGCTAGGTTGCTACCTCCGTTAGCTTAGCTCCCACCTTTGCATTAGCGTGTAGCTAGTTCGACCGGGTGTCGTCAGTTGATCCCAGCCTTACAGCCCCACCCTCAGCTCCTCCTCTCTTCCCTTTTATGGAATTGTCTGGGCTTGACGGAACCTGTGACACGGTCAAAATGGCGGTGGTGGCCACCTCCCATTTTAGCAGAAAAACTTGTTATTGGAGTCTATGGAAACCCATTGTCCATATATTAATGTCGATGATCTAGATGCCACTTTGTTTTCACTGAGGTCCAAAATGCACACCACAACAAAATTCTCACCATTCTACCTAATGTATGGAAGAGAGGCAAGGTTCCCATGTGAACTTCCCGTTGAAATGCCGGTAAGAGTCTGCCTGTCATGAGTTATGTTGGAATCTTCCTTTGTACTATCATATTAATATACATGCTGATTTTGTGAATACTTCTAATCATTTTCAGACATAGAATCTTTTGACAGTAATGTTTTTATAACTGTGTGTAAATGTGTAGCATATGTATTGCAAAAACATTATCTGTTTTTGCAGTGTAGCTGTAATCTATTATTATTACAATGGAATACAGCGAATATGTAAATGAGCAAAAGGACCGAGATGAGAAGGTAAAAGAAAATGTGGAAGTGGCACAACAGAAAATGAAGGAAGCATATGCAAATAGGGCAAACAAAAAATACAAACATTTTACATTCAAAGAAGGGGATGAGGTGCTGTTGTACAATGTAAGACTAAAGTAGAAAAGGAGCCAGGATGGAGCGTGACTATTCTGGCCCATACACAATCCAGCAACTAATGGGCAAGACTGCAATTGGGGACAACTATGACAGGGAAACACTTGAAAACAAAGCACAGCATCACTCACCTAAAGCCCTACAAAACAGGCAATGTGGGACACAAGGAAGCTGGGCCAGATGAACCACCAACAAAATTTCAAAAACGAATCAAGTGAGAAGCAAGTGAGGGAGTCAGTTATTAAGTACGTGGGCAAAACACATCTGGTGGGGAAAACTCAAAATCAGGACTCCGACAAGGTGATCCCTCCCTTTTCCAAGTTGTCTCCCTCGCCCCCTCACATGATGTCTCCCTCGCCCCCTCCCAAGACACCTCCCTCACCCCCTCTTTGCATGCCTCCCTCGCCCCCTCCCAAGACATCTCCCTCACCCCCTCTGAGCATGTCTCCCTCGCCCCCTCCCAGGATGTCTCCCTCACACCCTCACATAATGTCTCCCTCGCCCCCTCCTGAGACATCACCCTCACCCCCTCTGAGCATGTCTCCCTCACCTCGTCCCAAGACTCCTCCCTCACTCCCTTTCAAGACATCTCCTTCGCCCTCTCCCATGATGTCCCAGAAAACATTGCAGCGGCATGGTGCAGTAGTACCGCAAACCAAAAAAAGTTTTTGGCCCTGTTGGCCATTGGTTCAGACCGCTTGGTCAGTTATTTGCATGTTAGTTCACCGCATGTTTGTTTACTGCCTGCTACTGCTCATGTACGCACAAATTCCCATTGTTCCTAAAAAATGTCAGTTGTACTTTGCTAAGCTTTAAAATAATTTATTTATATATTTACCTTTTTTTTTTTTTGCAGTACTTAAACTTTGGTCTTTGAAAGACTCTGGCCAAATAGAAGCCCTGGTTGGTCCATACAAACTGTATGATACATCTTTTCATACACTATGTGGACATGGGTGGCTGTCAGATGAAGTAAGACTACTTTCTCTTGGAAATACACATTTTCCCAATGCTGTGGATCTAGAAAATAACTTAAAGCTGCTATTTTTTTTAAAAGATCCTAGATGCTTATCTCCATCTCATTGTGGAAAAAGACATGGTATAGATATTTTGCTCATAAAATATATATCCATTATTTGCATTTTGTAATGATTAACTCATCCACAATTATGTTTTATTTCAGATACCAATATACCGCATGGATGCAGTAATTGGATCATCTTTATTTCATCTAGGGCAGCACAGGGCTTTTCGAAAAGTAAGTATTTGCTATGCTATACTCCTGTCTAAGTAAAAATGAATCAAAACTAACAATATTTTTGTCATTTAAAAAGATGGCATTCCCAGAAGCCTCGATTTGGTTGTGCCCTGTAAATGTCGGTGGTCACTGGATTTTAGTGGTATGTTATCTTTGTTCCGAGAACTACATCAATCAATCTTCATGTGGATACTTTTAAAAAGTAACAGATGTCATACTAAATTAACAGCTTGTCAGGATGGATCACAAGGAGGTTATTGTGATTGACCCTCTTGGCCATGAGAGGACTTACCAAAGAAAAATTCTCCGTAATTGGAGGTAGTGTGAATGGGGTCATCATAAGTCGGTTCCTAAGTTGTTTTTATTGTGCTAACAATGTCACTAATTTAAGTATTTACGCTACTACATAGGAATTTCTTGAGAGCCAAAGATGCCAGACAGGGCAACTGGAAGGTCAAAACTCTGCCGCATGGCCTGCAGCACGATGCCAGCAATTGCGGGGTCTTGATTTTGAGGGTACCAAGAATACAAATGCAATAATTTTTGTAAATAAGATTTGAAATTCAAAATTCAAAAAATACAAACATTAAACAATACAAAATCAACACAGAAATAATACAAACATTTACCATATTTACAAACATTAACATTTTCAGGTGTTGTATCTAAGATATTAATTTACATTTCTGTCATTCACAAAATGGTTTCTCCCACCCCATTCATGTCCTGCCTTCCCAGGTGGAACTAATAAATGTTTTGCAGGTCCAGGGACACAATTTTCCTGCACACAACCATAGACCAGGAAGAGGCAGAGGTGAGTAAATGGCTGCTGCAACAGTCCTTCCTTTTCTGCTCTGTATTACAATTAACTGTTATTTCTATAGTTTGCAGTAACTTTTACATAATCATAATCTGTGTTCTGTTCTATTACTGCGGGTGTCGGCTGCTGGCTGTCATGAGGTGGCGCAGGCCGACGCTGCGCAAGGCAGGCACACCCATGGACGAGAGCAAACAACTGTCTGCACAACTCAACCAAACAATAAACCATAAATAAAGATTTAAACCCAAAACTCAATAATTGTCTGTTTATCTTCCAATTCTTTTACACTATGTCAACTGAGAATTATACAGAAACAAATGTCCTTTAGAACACCTAAGCAAATATAATGTTGACTCTCTGTCACAGGTCTGAAAGTTGTTTTTTCTTACTCTTAATCTACATTAAAAACAGAAATATTTATGTTACTTTAATAAATACATGATTTGAAGCATATATTACTACTTTGTAACTCTGAAAAGTGCAATATAATTTATTATTTATTTATAATTTAAAGTTTTTTTGTACATTCATGTTTAACTTATTGATCCAATGTGAATGTATTTGCTTTTACAGACGATGTTTAGCACTATAACCATTGACATTATGATGACTGGGTATGGAGGTTTTTCTTGTTCTTATTTGTAGTCTACACATAAAAGTTGCGTGTTCTTTAATGACATAAAGATATAAAGCAAAGTAATTTATTTACCTCCTCCTTGAACCGTCACCTTATTGTGGTGGAGGAGTTTGAGTGCCCCAATGATCCTAGGAGCTATGTTGTATGGGGCACTTTGTGCCCCTGGTAGGGTCTCCCATGACAAATTGGTCTTAGGTGAAGGGTGAGACAAAGAACGGTTCACAGGATCTTTCATGGAGGTAAAGTCAAAGAGTCGGAGTACCCGGCCCGGAGGGTTACCGGGGTCCCACCCTGGAGCCAGGCCTGGGGTTGGGGCCTGTGAGCGAGCGCCTGGTGGCCGGGCTTTCGCCCATGGGGCCCGGCCGGGCCCAGCCCGTACCGGATACATGGGCTCATCTAATTGTGGACCCACCACCCGCAGGAGGAACATGAAGGGTCTGGTGCAATGTGGATCGGGTGGCAGACCAAGGCGGGAGACTTGGCGGTCCGATCCCCGGAGAAGAAAACTGGTTTTTGGGACATGGAACGTCACCTCGCTGGCGGGGAAGGAGCAGGAGCTTGTGGCAGAGGTTGAGCGGTACCGGCTAGATATAGTCGGACTCACCTCGACACATGGCATTGGCTCTGGAACCCAAGTCCTTGAGAGGGGTTGGACACTCTCCTTTGCTGGAGTTGCTCCAGGTGAGAGGCGGAGGGCTGGGGTTGGCTTTTAGTTAGCCCCAAGACTCTCTGCCTGTGTGTTGGGGTTTACCCTGGGGGACGAGAGGGTAGCTTCCCTGCGCCTTCGGGTCGGGGAAGGGTCCTGACTTTTTTGTGCTTATGGGTCAAATATCAGTTCAGAGTACCCACCCTTATTGGAGTCCCTGGGACGAGTGCTAGATAGTGCTCTATCAGGAGACTCCATTATCCTGCTGGGGGACTTCAATGCTCACGTGGGCAATGACAGCTTGACCTGGAGGGGTGTGATTGGGAGGAACGGCCCGCCCAATCTGAACTCGAATGGTGTTTCATTATTAGACTTCTGTGCAAGCTGCAGTTTGGCCATAACGAACACCATGTTCGAACATAAGGATGCCCATCGGTACACTTGGTACCAGGGCAGCCTAGGTCGCAGGTCGATGATAGACTTTGTAGTCATATCATCTGACCTGCGGCCGTATGTTTTGGACACCCGAGTGAAGAGAGGAGCGGAGCTGTCAACTGATCCCCATTTGGTGGCGAGTTGGATCAGATGGCAGGGGAAGATGCCGCGTAGACCTGGCAGACCCAAACGCATAGTGAGGGTCTGTTGGTAAAGCCGGGCAGAAGAACCTGCTAAGAGGGTCTTCAACTCCCACCTCCGGCAGAGCTTTGACCACGTCCCGAAAGCAGTGGGCGACATTGACTCAGAGTGGGCCTTGTTCAACTCTGCGATTGTTGAGGCAGCTAAAGCATAACCATTGGTGCCACTCATGCATAAACAAGTGCCCCACATGGGCCACCCCATTTTAAAAGTCCTGGACACGGCTCATCTCTGACACCTGTGCATCAGTGCCCCGGCTCCGACTCCTGCTTCACGTAGCCAGCCTGACTCCCTGAGGGGAGGGGCTGTGTTGGCGAGAAGTCTGTGGTGCCTTTCAAAATAAAAGCTCGTGAGTCAAATATTTCCAAATCAAATTTTTTTCATCTCCACGTTATTGGGGGGGGGGGGTGCGTTTGTCCAATATTGGAAGGGACATGTCCCCCCCCCCACGTTCCTACGCCCTTGTTAAATAGGCAGATGCTCGTACCACCTGCTATCGGCACAAACTGTTTTACATGTGTCTGCCGCATTTTGCACACTGATTGGCAAGATTGTACTGAACCACAGTCGGGCCAAAAAAGAAAGTAAGTATCAGTTCAACTACTACACATTTGAATTGGGCCAATTAAAAAAGTAAGACGGTCAGCCGATCCAGACCTCAGCCAACAGTGCCAGAACTCAGCCAACATCGGCCCTATTGTGCTTGCTATGTAGGAGCATATTCCTCAGCATTACATGAATGAATTCAGGATAAAGGAATGTTTGGGTTAATTTCCGCTAAGCTTTTCTTTTTACAACACAAAGAATATAAAACAGCATCTGAAATATTTTGTATTGGAATTGTTTTACACTGTAAAAAGTCCAAAATGCAGCTTTTCATTCAATCTAATAACTTCCATTCAAAACAGAATTAAATATCGATTTGATTGTGAAACTCTTTATTTTTGCATTTTAAATAATCACTTGATTTGTATGCAACTAAATGTCCTTTTAAACCAATCAGAAAGTTTTTGATTCCACTCAAAATGTATATTTCTGTTAATGTTCAGTGGATAATATTTTTTATTTAAGTCAAATGTGATTTGCACATGAACACCCATGGGAGCTGCAGTGGGTGAGGTGCATTGTGGGTAGTCATGTATTTAGTTATACTTTTAGTTATCAGGCTCCTCTCTTGTGGAACCAACTCCCAGCTTTAGTCCGTGAGGAAGACACCTTGTCTACTTTTAAGACTAGGCTTAAAACATTTATATTTGATAGGGCTTATGGTTAAAATCTGATGTTAGCCTAGATCTGGACAAGTGGGGGAGTAGAGGGAGGTGGAGTGTACAGTCGGTAAAGACGGCTCTCCCTTGCCCTGCCTCCAACATGCCTCCATCTAAAAGGTTATCCAGAGTTATCTCTGTAGTTATGCTGCTATAGGCTTAGACTGCTGGAGGACACACTGACCACTTTCCACACTCGACTACTTTCTTATACAATTTGCTCTTTAACAGTAATATTTCCTGCTATTTCAGCTGTTAACTTTATTTTTTCTCTAAGTGTTTTTCTCCCCAGAAGAAGCTACAACGATGTTCTGCTGAGCTTTGGTAGCCTCATGGGGTGGGGTGGGGGTGGGGGGTGGGGGGGTGGGGGGTGGGGGGTGGGGTGGGGGGGCTTGAACACTGTTGCTGACCACATAAACCTTGAAGTACACGTGACAAGGGTGGGGAGTGAGCACCACCTCACCACTGTCACCTGGATCTCAAGGGATAAACCATCAATCCTGCTCAATGGTCAACTTTCTTTGCGGGGTCACCCATGAAGACAGTGGGAGGGTTAAATGTTCTCCTGATAACATTTTACTTTCTTTGACATTGAATGTGCTACTACTAGTTTTGTAATGTCCTGTATTCCTTGTCTCCCCAGTTTATTCCATATGTCTCCCTCCTAGGTGTCCTTGTCCTCTCTGTCCCTTCCATTGTGTTCAGTCTAGTTTAGTTCTACTCCTCATGTATCCTTTCATCATTTGGTTATAGTCTCTTATCTTATCTGGTGTTGTACAGCCATCTTGTGCTTCAGTTTTGACTTCATTTCTCATAGTTCTGTTCTCTTGTCTTTGTGTTTCCCTGTTAACCAGTCACACCTGTAGGTCATTGTATCAGTAATCATCACACCTGTTCCCTGTCTTCACTCACCTCCTCAGCAGTATTTAAACCCGGTCATGTTCATAGCTCCTGGTCGCAGATGACTGGATATCACCGGAGGTTACATTAGCTGAGGTGAGTAGGTAACAGGAGCTGACATACGGCTGTTTTATCGCTGGGAGCACATCAGCCGCTGGAAGCTTTTGACGGCTTGGGTTGGCCAGGAGGGTCGATTGGGGATCGGCCGACGGCCTGTACGGGTCCGGTACCACGGTGTTCTGACGCTGCTCCCGTTCAATCTCGGTGAGTACGGGATGGAGGACGGGAGGTGGCGCTGGAGTGGCTATGCAGGTGGAGAGCTGGGTTACCGCCAAGCGGGACCATGGTGACTTGTCTCTGGAGGATGTTGTGGCGGATGGCTCTGCTAAGCAGCTGCGGACTGGTGGTGGTGGTGAGTCGGGCCTGGTTGTACACTTGCGAGCATCTGGCGGGGGCAGTTTCTGTTCCTCCAGTCCGCTTCGAGTGTCTGAAGAGCTGCAGGAGAAGGTTGGTGATGTGGTGGATGCCACGGTCCTGCCTGGTGGTGTGTTGTCCATTGTGTGTCATTCTGTGGAGCAGCGGGATAAAGCACTTCAGCTTGAGCGGTTTTTGGGCGTGAGAGTTGACGTTTCTGTGCAGAGTGTTGAGGTTGGTGTTAAGGGAGTGATTTACAACGTTCCTAATGTCTTCGAGTCTGAGTTGTTGCACAATCTCAGAGGGGGCTCGGCTGTGGCCGAGCGGAGGCTGGACTTTAATGCTAGTAGGTCGACTCCCTTGCTGATAACATTTAGAGGGCCGGCGTTGCCTGACCGCATTATGTTGGGTTTTCTGAGTTACCCTGTCAGGACTTTTGAGAAGGCCCCGCTGCGTTGCTTTCGGTGCCAAAGATTTGGGCATGTGGCTGGAGTCTGTAAGGGGGGTCAGAGGTGTAAAAGATGTGGTGGTGAACATGATGGCCTCCAGTGTTTGGCGGCTTTTCGGTGCTCCAATTGTGGTGGTGCGCATCAGGCCACTTTTAGGGGTTGTGCTTTTTGACAGGGAGGCGGTGGCTATTGTAACGTCATGAAGGAGCTGTTCCACCGAAGGTTTTTTCCCTCTCTCATCAGGAAGAACTAATCTGCATGAGACTGCCTCAAGGTCATGCACTTGCTTCTAAACTGTTTCTTCCTTTCCAGCTCATAAGAAGAATGAAGACAAAGGACTCGTTCTTTTAATAAATCAGAAGAACTCTATTTTTAATAAAGCTAATCAAACAAACTGTTAGTCCAATAATAAAATGTGAACCAATCTGTGAAATTACAATGTTTATGATCAGTAGTTTTTGATAATTAATATAACTTTAAACTAGCTGCACTAGACATTCTCGTAATGTTAAGAATCACATGACACATGACATTTCCTTTTTCTGATCCGATCAGAGCCTTCCAGATCTGACGCGAGGTGTGGTTTTGTTGGTGCTTGGTAAATCTGTCCTTTTTTGATTCGACCGTAAATCAAAACATCCAAATTATAAAACTATGCCCACGTCATCTTAACTTCAGTTCAAAGCTTTCTAGAGAAGTTGTTGGAGTGGCCAATCCGTAGCTTTCCTCTTCAGCCGAAAGAACCTAACGACAAGCTGGATTAAATCTGTTGCATGTTCCACCTGCTAAAATGGTTCCTTTCACAATAAAAGCTGAACCATCACAACCCCTTTTTGGGTCTCGTTAGATGCCAATAAAACTGTCGTGATCCGGAAGTATCTCAAGACTGGTCTGGTCGGCAACCGCTGCTTTTCTTGCAGGCTTCGGTTCCAGAGAAGGTCAAGCTGGACCTCGACATTCCTGATCTAACGGGGACTTCCACAAAGGGTACGTAGGCGGGCAGAAAGGCGTCTCAATGTGTGTTATAAATCTCCAAACCAAAGCTTAGCGCGAAACATCATCTTCACTCCCATCAGAACTAATCGTTTCTCCGGATTTGCTGGTTCTGAACAACATTCCACACTACACCATCCATCTTGCCTCATTCACCCCTAGATCTATTCATCACACAGAGTGTTTAGTGTTTAAAGTTAGTCTAGTTTTAATTTGTTTAGTAATAAATCATTAAACTTTTAAAACTTGACTCTGTTTCTTTTGTCTCTGAGTTAATACGAAGTGGTTACATAATGCCTGCAATAAAAAGTTCCAATCTTCTGGTTTAAATTATCCAAAGATCCATAATTTTGTTTTCATATTTCCTATGTAATCACATTTTATGGTTCATTAAATAATATGTAAGTTTAATCGTTACACTATGGAGGACTATAGGACGTGCCACAAGGTTTCTTTTGCCGAGGCTGTTCGTCGATGATGGGCTGAGGGTGTGGTGGGGTCACCTGTGGCAGGTCTGTGTGGCAAAGCACCGATTGGAGGGGGAGGGGTGGCTCGGGGGAACAGTGGGGTTGCAGTGGTGGATCGGAAGCTGTTTTGGCTTTTGTGGTAGAGGCGATGTGGAGGGTGAAGATGGTGGTGGTTAGTAAATCGGACGCAGCGCGGGAGGTAACTGTTGTGGCTGAGCGGCTCCTGGGCTTTTCTGGTGTAGATCCTGGGAAAGTGTGGAGTGCTGCTTGTGGGCGGGGGGTTGGTGGTGGTTTGGGTGTGGATTTGGTGGCTGGAGGAGAAGGGTCGTCAAGTGAGGCCGGGGGAGTGGCTTTTTGGGTCCTGCAATGGAATGCCAGGAGTCTGGCAGCCAATGGTCAGGAGTTTAACAAGGTCGTAGTCGACCTGGATGTCCGACCGGACATAATTTGGGTGCAGGAGACGTGGCTGAAGCCTTGCTTGGATTTTAAATTGTGTGGATATTAGTGTGTGAGAGCAGAGAGGGTGGGTAGATCCAGTGGGGGTTGTGCCATGTTTCTTGCAGAGGGGCTGCAGTATTGTCGGCGGTGTGTTGACTTAGGTCTTGAATGCATGGTGGTTGAGGTGTGGTCTGATAGGGGGGTGATTTTAGTAGTGAAATTTTATAATCCAGGTTTGGGCTTGGCGGGTGAGGCTCTCCGAGGGCTGTTTCAGGGTGCTTCCTCATCGGTTTTGTGGGTTGGGGATTTTAATGCTCATAGTGGGTTGTGGGGGACTGGGTGGACGGATGGGAATGGGAAGGTCCTGGAGGACCTTTTGGACGAGAAGTGCTTTGTGGTGATAAATGATGGGAGTCCTACTTGGTTTCGGGGAGATGGTCGATGTTCGTCTGGGTTGGATCTGACGATTGTTTTGGCTGCGGTGGCTGGGGGGGTGGGGGGGGTGGGGGTGGGATTTGTTGTTTCATCTAGCTATGAGGAATGACCATGTGCCTGTGCTGAGTTGGTTTAGTTGGGGGTTGGTGTCTGAACTTCGTTCCTTGGTTATGGGGTTCAATTTTATACGTGCCCATTGGCCCTTCTATACACAGGAATTGGAGGATGCGATTTGCCAGTTGAAGGGAAGTGTGGATGTGGACGCCTGGTGTTCAGCTGTTTCTGGGTGTGTGCGATCGGTGGCAGAGGCCTACATTGCTAGGAAGCGCCTCCCTGCTGGGAGGTCTATGGTCCCGTGGTGGGCCGAGGCCTATGATGTGGCTATTTGGGCTAGGAATAGGGCATTTTGGTTGCTCAGGGTGCACCCTTTTGAGGTGAATGTGCTTGCTTATTAAAAGCTGAGGGCTCAGGCTCGCAGGGTAGTGAGAGCTGCGAAGCGGGCTGGGTGGAGGGGCTTCTGTGGTGGGTTGGGGCCCTGGACATTTGAGGGTGTTGTGGCGCATGGTCCGTAGAATGTCGGGGGCACAGGTGCTTCCGGGGGTTCCTGTACTGAGCGTTGGGGTGGACTGGAAATACGGGATGTGGATAAGGTGAACTTGCTGGCCACTCATTTTCGGGGAGTTCATAGTTCAGCGGGTATCTCGGCTGACGACTGTGCTGCCAGGGCTAGGTTGGTGGAGCATTACGCGGCTGGTATGTGGGAATCTGGGGATACTGCCTGTGACTTGAACCTGTTTTTTCTATGGATGAGCTACAGTCAGCTGTTCAGTCTGGGGGGGGTACTTGCCCTGGGAGGGATGGTCTGAGGTATCCGCTGCTTCAGCATGCAGGGGGTCTCTTCCTGGAGGAGCTTTTGTCCTTGTACAATGCTGTGTGGGAATCGGGCTGTTTGCCACTTGAGTGGAGGCACTCTGATGTGCTTCCGTTTTTGTAGCCGGGTAGGCCCCCTGGTTCCCCAGACTCCCATAGGCCTATAGCTCTGACGTCTGTTGTCTGTAAGAGCGCATGGTCACCTTGAGGTTAGTGAACTTCTTGGAGCGCTGTGGCTTTTTTGCTCGTTGCCAGAGTGGGTTTTGGCTGGGGCGGTCCACGATGGACGCGGTGGCGCCTCTGGATCTGGACATTAGGCAGGCTTTGGTGAATGAGGCAGTGTTGGCGGTGTTCCTTGACATCGAAAAGGCTTATGATATGCTTTGGAGAGACTGGCTTTTTTTTCACTAGTATTTTATCGAATTTTTAGCACAAATGTGATATAAAACATTGGCTTCTAAACAATAATCTGTCATAGATAATAACACGGTATTCCAGCCATACAGAGTATTGTCTATCCATGAACAACGACACCATAACAAAACAAAACACACACACACAAGGGTTTAAAAAAAGAAAAGCGCATATGGATACATTGTATTTCATACCTCTCATCACTTTCTCATCTGGAAGAGATATAATGCATATATTTCCCCATTTCAACATATATTTGTCGGACCTGTAATTTATATTGAAAAAAATTATTTTGTATGACGCTACTTTTGCCAATTCCATACTCCATTCCCAGATACACGGTTCACCTGGGTTCCTCCAATTTCTCATTATGATTTGCTTTCCAATCATTACACTGGTCTGAATGAAGTCCGCCGTGACATCTTTTGCCGTTATGTGTGGATCATTCAAAACATATAATCTCGGACAGAATTCCAAATGACTTCCGGTAATGTTTACAATACGATTGTGGATTTTTAACCAGTAGTTCTGAATCATGGGACATTCCCAAAATAGGTGAATAAGTACCTTCTGTGTTACAGCACTTCCAGCATTCCGCATTGTCCCTCATCTTCAATTTAAAAAGCTGGCTTGGGGTCCAATGAAAGCAATAGAGTATTTTAAATTCAATCAATCTAATTTTAATGTCTCTTGACACCCTCTTAACATTTTCACAGATATGATCCCATTCTTGTGGGGGTGGTGGGCAATGAGAGGATGGACTCTGTGGCCAAGGTGGCGCTGAGGAGTACTGTTGTGGGCCTGGAGGTTGCCATGGGCTCTCCTTAGTCTTTCCTCCAAAGATCAAGGACCGACCCACAGCCACCCACCAAACGATGTAACCCATAAAAGCCCATACCCAAAACCCAACCATCCCACGATGCCTGCCACACAGGCAGTTTTCTGTCGCTGCATGCTTGCTTAGTATGTATCAAAGCACAAAAGAGGACTCAAATGCAGAGCTCACACAGTTTAATAAGCTGAAGGGATTCCTGGCAGTATAGCACAACTGAACAAGTCGAAAACTAACTGAATACACTCACACAAAGTGTTTCTGAGAGCAGGTTCACTTTACTCAACTGAAGAAGACAAACTGGCAAAGGAATCTGTTTGCAAAGAAGCATAATTGGAGAAGCCAGGGCACAGGTGCAAGACATAAGGCTGATTAGTGAGGAGCCTCAGGTCGTGAAGCTGCCTGTAATGAGACAGGAAGTGAATACACAAAATAAAACAGGAAGTACCAGAAATACAATAAAATCAGAAACATGACTGCAAAGCATTCAACCTACAGAACCACCCATGACAGTATGAGGATTGCTGTAAAGACTCTGACACTAGTCAGTGACTCGATGCAACCTGCTGGGTGCCTTATATAGGAAACTTTTTGCTGATTGGCTTAATGAACTGACCTGTATTGGAATGTTTACTAAGTGAAGTGCCTTGAGACGACTCTTGTCGTGATTTGACGCTTTATAGATAAACTTGAAAACTTGAATTGAATTGTTATATTGCTCTATTTTGGGGTGTTTATGCATGTTTATTTGGGGGCGTTGTGATGTTCTTAGTTATTACTTCATTCACTACTGCAAATGTGGCGTTACATGTTATAACTTTATAGCACCATAAGTGGGTAGGTCAGTCAGAGTGGGGATCCACACTGAAACCTCTGGAATCAGCTGCAGTGTTTGACTTTCACTTACTGTTTACAGGCGAATGAGTTACTTGGAATTGTTCTTTGTTGCTGCCATAAAAATATAGTTAGGTTATATGTAAATGAACTAAGTGTCAACACAACCATAGTGAGTCTTGGTAATTTGGTTGAATGTAAATACATTAGCTTGGTTCAATGACTAAAATGAGGTATGTGAAGAAATGTATTTGGATCAAGTCAAAGAATTTAGGTTTGGTCAAATGGAGCAATATAAGAAAATCAGGTGACATTAAGTGAATAAATTTTGTTTCTGTGAAGTCAAATATTTTGGATGTGAAAATTGGACATCAATTTAAAAATGTAAGTTAAAGGCCCCGTGTGTGAAATCCATTGAAATCATGATGAAAAAATGTGACTCTTTAGCGCCATGCAGTTCAGAGAAAGTATTGCAGCTACGGTGGCTCACTCATGAAGTTTGATGTATGATCAGTTTCCAACCTGTGTAGCCTAAACCACACAAAGCTTAAAACAAGCTACTCAACCTCTTTACAAAAGCATTTATCAACCTACCAGTCCTGAAGGAAACAAGCTAGTTCTGTTCTTGAAGCGGTCACCATTCACACACGGAGAAGGGGTGATGTCAGCCAGGAGGTCAGGTGTTGTGAGAAATTGTGTTCCCCTGAAATATTCCATCCCCGTGTCAGGAGATCCCACTTAAGGCCATTTTCACAACATTTGTGATGAACTTTTACGGGAAAATTATGTAATGTAATAATGTTATGCTTGTGATTTTTATCTGTATTTCCTCCTAAAAACAATAAAGATACAGTAAAAACATTCTTATTCACTCTTTTGCAGCAAGTTTATTTATCATTTAGAAAGTTGTGTAAAAAGATGAAATCTCACTCAGTTTAACATATTTTATTTGAGCTAGTTTAGTCCTCATAAAGGACAATAAGTTTTGTGGATTTGGAAATATTTGCTCTTGACTGCCTAAGGGAAACAGAATATTTCAGGGGAACATAATTTCCCACAACACCCGTTTCACGTGGATCACGGCGCCTCGATGTAAACAAACTGGCTGCCGCTACAATCTATGGAGCGATCACTGGCTGGTCGTTAGCCACGGCTGGTGAAGGAGAGTTGGCGAGGCGGGGACATGCTGGAGATTAAGTAAACTATTATCACATTTACATTGAGAATAATGTTATATTTTATAAAAACTTGAAATTACAGCTTTGAAATAAAACTTTATTTTTTCTGTATTTCTCTTTAACCAGACTAGACCCAGATACTGCAGGATTAACCTGAGTGTCCCAGTCCTGGACCGTTTCTTCAACCAGCAAGATCCGAGACCAGACTTTTGTTTGAGCAGGGAGTCCCTTTCAGTGCTGCTGAATCTGCTGAACCAAGATCGGCGTCATGGTTGGGGTGCCACAATTGAGACCCTGGTGTTTCTTTTCTGGTTGGCAAGCGGAGCATCTTACAGGGTGGTCTCCAGAGTGTTCGGGATTCCTCGTTCTACTGTCCACTGCATCGTCCACAGAGTCACGGAGGAGGTTGTGGCCATTCGCCACCAGGTCCACCTTCCAAAAACCCCTGAAGACCTGGAGGTGGTGTCCCAGGGGTTTGCAGGGCTGGCACGGCCTAGAGCTTTTTTTAAAGCTGCTGGTGCTATCGACGGCTGCCACATCAGGATCAAGCCTCCAAGAGGCCCTGATGGTCACTGCTACAGGAACTGGAAACTGTTCCCCTCTATCATCCTGCAGGCTGTGTGTGACCATCAGGGCCGCTTCATTGACACGTACGTGGGCTGGCCGGGGTCCGTACACGACTCCTGGGTGCTCTGCCACAGCCCGCTGTACAGGCAGTCAGTCTACCCTCCTCCAGGGCACTTCATCCTCGCAGATGGTGGGTACCCATGCCTGGGTAAAGAAAATTTTGGCTGGCTTAGCCATATTGTAAGGAGAAAATGTCTTTACTCAGTTATATTGTTAAGAAGACTCAAAGGTTGTTTTCATCGATAAACTGACGATAATATCTGGGTGTCTGTGTTTCAGTTCAATGAGGAAACCAGTTTGACAATTAAAAGTTTTAATTCTTCAAATTAAACTAATGATTTTGAAATTGACAAACAGGAAATAAACAATCAACATTGGCAACTTGTGGGACAATCTTTAACAGTTGATATGCTGTTCTTGCTCAAATAGACCTTCTGTTGGTGAATGAAGATTGAGAGTAATAGGATGTGATTATGGATGCGTGTGTGTGCAAAGTGTCGTGAGAATTGAACATGAGGTGATATGGATGCGTGTGTGCGTCTGATTTTGCTTCAGGAAGAAACAGGTGTCTGAGTGAAGTGATGGTTTGGATAAACTTAGGTCTTATCAGAGAACTACATCAAACGCTAAACACCGTGCTCTGTCTCACCGAACTCTTGTGGACCCTCTTTCGGATCCGGGCCGTGGAGGATGTTGTGGTTCATCCAGATGACACCGGCGGCTGACAGGAGACGTAGGTGTCGAACGGAACCGGTCCAGAGTTGCCCTCGGTACACGTGGATGGTAGAGCGTTTTATCGATGCGCTTTCTTAAGTTAATTCACTCAGAAATCAAAAGACTCGGTAATGAGTCTGCGTTAGAAGTCGCGATTCAGCTATTCTGTCTGGCTGACAGGAACAGCGTGAAAGGGGGGAAG